GAGTGCTGAGCATGAGGGAACAACATGGTTCCCCGTGCCCGGCTGGGACGTGGTCTCCAGGAAGCCAGGGGCGGCCTGCACCGTGCCCCAGCTGTCCCTCTGCAAGTGTGGCCTCTGCAGAAAATGGACAGAGGGAGCCTCTTGACGCTAGAGTTTAAACAATGCTTGTCGGGCTGTTGTTTTTAAAAGGAGGCCCGAGACAGCGTCTGCGAGACCCCCCCCAGGTCTTCAGGACCCGCATCCGGGCACCTACTTTGAAGGCTGTGGAGCCTTGACGCACTGATTGACCCAGCAAGTGCAGCGCTGTGCTCCTGGCCTCTATCAGCCACCGCCCACCAGGCTGGGCTGGGCCTGCCCCCCCAGCTTCTCCCCTAATCTCAGCTGATAGTCGCCTGCAAAGGGCCACAGCCCAGTGTGGGGAGGGGAAAGGTCAGGCAGCAGGCGGAGGGGTGGGGGCTTCCAGGTGGGAGGGGCCAGGCCACACGTGCCACAGCCTCCAGAGGCCCTGCGTGCTCACGCAGCCAGACCCCCACTCCATGGGCCCTTGAGAAGTGTGGGGGCCTCAGATGCCTTCAAACCCTCCACAGGGCACTTTAAAGTGCCACTTCTTTTTTTTTTTTTAAGATGACCGGTAACGGGATCTCAACCCTTGGTTTGGTGTTGTCAGCACCACGCTCAGCCAGTGAGCCAACCGGCCATCCTTATATAGGATCCGAACCTGTGGCCTTGGTGTCATCAGCACCGCACTCTCCCGAGTGAGCCACGGGCCGGCCCTAAAGTGCCATTTCTGATCAGCACAAACTGAAGTTGGCGTCCTGGTGCTGCTGTGTGTGAGTATGCAGCCGCCGCGACATTACTCACAGTGTTTCCTGCAATGGGCAGGATTGTGGGTTGCAGGCGTGGCTGGATCCAGCGCACTCTCCACACTCATCGTGCGTGGCTTTGCCCCGGAGAGCCGCGGTGTGGCCAATTGCAGCAGCACAGCACCGCTCCTGGGCTGAGTCGACTCCCCCAGAAAAGCTGATGGCTGGATCCAGTGCACTCTCCACACTCATCGTGCGTGGCTTTGCCCCGGAGAGCCGCGATGTGGCCAATTGCAGCAGCACAGCACCGCTCCTGGGCTGAGTCGACTCCCCCAGAAAAGCTGCGCTTCCAGGGGGCCATGCCCTCTCCAGGCTCTGGTCTGGCCCTGCTGTGTCCTGTGCCCTCGCCTGCACTGCAGGGTGGGATGTTCCCTGGGCAGGGCCTGGAGCTGCCAAGACCCCGTGACGGTGGGCTGCCCAGGCTCGCCAAGCCAATATGTGTCCCTATCAGCTCTGGGACGAAGACCCTGCTGAGAAGAATTGAGGGGCTGGGGTGGGGCTGGGGAGGCACCTCAGAAGTGCGGGCCGGCATCCTGTCTACAGCCTGTCAACCCCGGTGCTCATCCCATGAATGACAGATGAGCCTGCCTGGCAGATCTCACCGTGGCCTCCCTGGGGTAGAAGTTCCCACCCACCTGTCACCTTGCCATCTGCAAATATGGCTACTCTGGGAATGAGGGTCTCGCTGGCCTGGCAAAAGGCGGAGCCCTGCCCTGCCCCCATCACTGGCCATGCTCCTGCGCAATGATGGGTCCTTTCTGGGGTGGGGATGGCGGAGCCTCTCCCGCCAGGCTGCAGACGACGCGGGCTGTGTGGGGAATCTCTGGTGGAACTACTATCCTAGTGCGGGGTGTGCAGGGCTCCTCCCGACGCCCTCAGGGCAGGGCACGCCGGTTCTGCTTTGCCTTCAGGCCTCGTGGGGCGGCCTGGGAGGGCTGGTGGGGGCGGGCCGCTCCCTGTGCTGACCACTGTCCTGCCCCGCACATGGCGCAGGATGGGGCCGAGCACTCGGCACTGGAAGAGAGCCTGGGGCCAGCCGGCCAAGCTCACCTTTGCTCTGGCCAGCAGCCCCTCCCGCGACTCCTGTCATCATTTCAGACAGAAAACGAGAAAGAAGAGGGTGATTAAGCCCACAGACCCAGCAGCGAGGGCCGGCGGTGGACGCGTCGCGGTGCTTACCCCACTCACACCGGCCCCGAGATGGCGTCCCTGACACCCCACGCCATTGGCGCTGTCCCCACCTGCCCCGAGTCTGCAGTTTTTTTCACGCAGTTCCTGATCTACGTCCACACAGCGAATCTGCTGCTGTGTCCCCTGGTCTCTGAGCCAGGGACAGACCCACCCTGTCCCTCACAGTGGAGACTGCTGGAGCAGCCCAGCCTGGCGTCCACGGCAACGTCCTGAGGTTTCCTGTACACAGGAACTTGGATTGGAAGGTGCGGTAAGACTTGTGGCAAGACTCTCATGGTGATTCTGCGTGCCACCTGCCCTGGCCTCAGTGCATGTCACCAATGCTCCTGGGTGGGCTGGGGGCTTGACAGTATCCACCTGAGCCCTGGGCCACTGCTGTCACAATGGACACCTGGGTTGAGAGGACCAGGCAGAGGAGCATTGGGGAGTTGCAGAGGATGCCCAGGACCCTGGGAGTGGGGACGACACACAAGACACATGCACAGCACACATATGACACACAATACAACATAGATAGACACATGATACACACCACACCACACACACCATACACATGGCACATGCACAAGACACTCAGACACCCCCCCCCCATCCAACACAGGACACACAAGACACACGCACAGCACACATATGACACACACCACACACCATGCTGTGAACACTCAGCTTCAGCAGGGCCACTGGGAGCTCCAGAGCCGCAGGATAACCAGGCACTCAAAGTTTTGGGGGCATAGAGAGAGCCCGGCTTGTGTCTGACACATCTGATCTTGATGCAGACAGAATTGGGGCCACCTTCTTCTGCTCAGAAGCCCCCCAGCTCCGCTTTGATGCAGAGTGAGTGCTGGAGCCCTCAGGGCATGGCCTTGCGGTGGGGGGACCCCCATCTGCCTTTCTGGCTACGCCCTGAGTGCTGGAGCCCTCAGGGCATGGCCTTGCGGTGGGGGGACCCCCATCTGCCTTTCTGGCACGCCCTGGGTAGCACCCCTCATTCCTGCAGTCCTTGTCGTGGATGCCTTCCCCGACTGCATTCTCTGTGTTGGGAGCAGGGGAGCAGGGTCTTCTGTCCCCAGGCACAGGGTCTGTCCACGTGGGCCCGAGGCATCTAGACTGGCACTCAGGGTGGCGGGATTGAGAAAGGGTAGAGGTGGGGACCCTTCTGTGACCCACGGGGGGAGGTTGAGCTGCAGTGGGGCAGGGAGGACTGAGTGGTCAGCCAGAGGACCTGCAAGGAAGAGTGGCGGGCTGTGGCCAGTCACCGTGTCTAGCTGTGGGAGAGTGGTTGTGACACTGATGCTGCTACTTCTTGAGGTCTTCAAGGTCCCATTCAGATACAAACCCATCAGGCCTGAGACAACTCACACAGCACCCCCGGGCAGGGGGCAGCAGGCCGAGAGCCCGTGTCCTCTAGGAACTCAGGCTAGGTCAGTGCCGGACACCTGAAGCCTGCTCCTTTCCATCCCCACCCCCCCAAGAAGGCCAGGCCTGTCTCATTGCAGATACGGACCCAGCTCCACCTGCAGGAGCTGTCTGCCATGGTGCCCAGTGCAGCTGGCCTGGGCTGGCTGGACCTTGGAATGCACCAAACCCTGGAGTCTCCATTCACACAGCAGCAGCCCAGGGACAAAGGCCATGTGGCTTCTGTGGCTGGGCACTTAGGATTGTTTTACCCCTCGTAACACGCCCCATCCCCAAGCCTGCAAACCTGTCCTGTCCAGACTCTGACAGCAAAGCCCGGTTCAGACTTCAATCACATGCCAGAGAAAACAGGGGTTTTCTTGTTTGAGATTTTACTATAAAAACATGCTGACTATGAACGCTCTCCACAAAACAGAAATAAGCGACGAGAAGAAAGTGAGGGTCTTGGTACCCAAGACTGGTAGTGTCAGTTTGCTGTGTACCTTTCCACAGGCGACTTGCAAAGGACCACACTTCTATCCCCATTGGGACACAGGGCAACCTCGGCCTTCCTGTGGGCTGAGCCCCCGGGTCCTCTCACCGTGTGTGCCCCGGGCATTCACGCACCCAGCTGTCCGTGCAGACACCCTTGGCACAAGGTGGACAGATGTGTGTTCATGTGGCATTTGCACCAACGTGTCTACCCGTGGGGAGAGAAGATCCACCAGCCCCTCGACCCTGGCCCAGCCTCTGGGGAGGGGCTTCCCTGTCTCCTATTGAGGGGCACTTCCAGACTCTGCAGGGAGTCTCCTGTGCTTTGCCTGTTTTGTGGAGTGGAGGCTGCTGGAGGAGGGTATGTTGGCCCCACTCTGCAGGCAGAGGACCTGCTCTAGGGAACATGCAGGACGGGCTTGGTTCTGGAGCCACAGACATGGCTCAGCCTGTCCCTCGCCAGTGGAAGGACAGCCGTGAGAGGGCAGAGTGCACATGGCTCACGCGCTAGGATTCACGTAGGGCCGTCACCACTGGTTTAACTTCCCAGTGGGCAAAGTGACAGTCTCTGCTCCATCCTGCTTTGGGGTCATTAACAGGGACTCAAACCCAAGGTTACAAACACAGCCCCTTCATTCCTCTTAGTCTTTTCATGGTTTTTTTTATACATAAAGCTGTAACCTTCATTTTTTCCAATTGGAAAGGCAGTTTTTCCTAACAGCTTTTATTTAATAAGCGATCCTTTTATCATATTCTCAAAGCCCTACATGTAACGAGCCCTCTTCTGGCTTCTGACTGTTCACTGACCCATCAATCACTCCCTAAGCTGACACTTTCAGTAATTTTTCTGAAGAGGTGGCTTTAAAACCTCTTCAACAACAGATGCTCCAGAATCTTAAGGTGGGTCAGGGTTAGAAGTGCACCGGCATGATGCACATGCCAGCTTTGGGAGGTGGCCACATGCCACGAACATAAATAGCGAGTGTCCTCCAGGTGGACGCCAGGCCTGAGCTGTATATGGCGCTGTGTGGGACGGCACGGGGCGTCAGGCACGCGTCCTCAAAAAGCATCCCCAGCCTCTGGCAGAGCACACAAGACCCAGGGTCCCATGGACACCGCTGGTCCCAGTGCGTGCATGTAGCTTCCAGGCTCTGGAAGGTGGCACGTCGGAGGCTGTGTGTGGTACAAAGCCCACACAGAGGCCAGGGAGTCTTGTTCCATTTGGCAGAGACCCCAGAAGGAGCCTGGGAGAAGCATCAGAGCCTGGGGCCTGGGCGCCCAAGGGCACAGCAGGTGCAGGCCAGTGCCCAGGGCAGCAGACAGTGAGCAGAAAGCCGGTGGCAGTGGGTGTAGAGGCCGTGAGAAAAGGACATCAGCGGGGAGTCCTGCATCTGGCGTTTGTGTTTCATCCAGCGATTCTGGAACCAGGTTTTTATCTGTGGGAAGAACAAGATCAGAGGAGGAACGAGAGCAGGGCCCGGCCTCCGCCTTCCCCACCTGTGCCTCTGATGGCTGCATCTCCTTGGCCAGCTTCTTCCGCTCTAGGGGATCCAGGTACTGGTGGTGCTGGAACATTCCCTCCAAGGCTTTGGACCTGCTCTGTGGTGAAGGCAGTGCAGACGCGGGGCGCCCTGGAGGGGTCTGGCTCCTTGCTCAACCCTGAGGGAGGAAGGAGGGGGCACTGACCCCCTTTGGCCAAAAGTGCTGCACAAGGGGCATGCTGCCCTGCTGGAGGGCATCACGAAGCTCCTCCACACAGAGGTGGATATGGTGAAGACGGACATGATGGGCAGATGGCCTTTTTGCCGGACTCCACTGATCTGGTGTCCCACCCGATCCTGGGGGAATGGTCAGCTCAGGTGACAGCCCTTGCTTCCTCTCCCCGTTCAGGTGGGGATTGGAGTCCAGACAGGTGGCTCAGGTGGGAAAGACGGGAAGAGCAGTTGGGACACCGCCACCGGGCCTGCCCTCTGCCCCAGCGCACTCCTTCCAGGCCTGAGCCTGACTGTCAGGGCCATCTCTGCCCACAGCCTTCCAGGCGGTGGTTTCTCCTGCCTGCAGGCAGCTCTGATGCCCAGGGTGGGGGTGTGTGCGGTGGGGCAGAGGCCTTCACCAACCCCCTCATAGATACGCACTAGGCAGGCGCAGCTCTGTCACTGCCCGGCTGTGTCTTTGTCAAATCTCTGCCTTCTAATTTCTAGATCAGCAGATGGGGGTGGGGGGTGTGAGTCCCAGGAAGGAAGCCAAAGTGGGCAAGACTGGAGACGTGGTCAACACTATCTAATGCAAATCTGACCGAAATGCCAATCAGTTTTTTGGAAGGAAGCAGGTTTTACAAAGTTGTGTTCACACTCGTCAGACTAAATCACTTCAGATGGCACGAGGGGGAGGGCGGACTGCGACGAACGCATTGGCAGAGGAACTTTGATGCCAACATGATCAGGTGGCTTTTTGGGGGTGGGGAAGGAGGGTTACCCATTGTGGAGAATAAATTTAAAATTTAACCTCATTGAGGCATTAAATTATTCCACAAGAACTTTTTTAAAATGAAAATTTATAGATAATATCAACCCTACTTTGAGCCAAGTGGTACTTTAAACTTAAAAGCAACCATTATGTCACAAAGAATAAAGGACGAATAAAATCTCAGCAAGCGACAAACGGTTAGATAAAGTTTAGGAAGCCAAGGAGACCAACGCCCAGGAGCTGAACGGGCAGAACTTCGTGAGCAAGGACATGTAAGGCCTGTCTCCACGTTTGTCCTTAAACCAAACCTGTGGAGTTTCTAAAAAACAACCCCCAAACCCCCAGGATCCCAGGAGAAGCGTGAGCAGGCTGAAGTCCAGGTGCTGAACGAGGCACCGGCTTTGCTGGGAGAGGCGACACCCCGCCCCAAGGACGGGTCATGGAGCCTGAAAGCCACGTGCACAAAGACGCCAGCGTCAGTGAGCGTCTGGAGCCGGCCCTGCCTCATTGAGCTGGCGGGAGGGGGATGACAATGGTGGCACTTCGGACAGTCCACAGGCAGGCAGGCCTGGCAGGGGTGGGGCACAGCTGAGGACTAGGGTGAGAGGCCGTGCAAGGGGAGACCACAAGGGACTTTTGCTTCTGGGGCAAGCATTAGCTCCCAGGAGGGGGCCAGCAGGACCTTAAACCCTAGTCCTAGTAGGAATGCCCCCCAATCCTCCCCACTCCCATCCCTTCCTGGGAAGAGAGAGACCGCCCTGCCCCCACGACCTGCCATCCACAGGCATCTCTTGCACGGCCAGGTCTCAGGACTTGGTCTCTTCTATGCGGATGGTCTGAGGAGGCTCCATGACGCTGGACGCCTGGCCTGGGCCAGGGAGCCTTCCCCGGGAGACCATGGCAGGCCCAGAGATGCAGGTCAGCCCTGAGCAACTGCTCTGGGAGAGCCAGTCCACAGAGCCAAAGCTGGAGGACGGCTTTTGGCCCTCGGGCGGGGTGCAGGAGGGATGCACGGCCCGACGGTGGGGCCCATGCAGGATCCACTGAGGGCTGGGGGTCGGGTTACGAGAGACGGAGACAGACGGTGGGAGCCACCCACAGGATCCCTGGAGGGGCGGCAGGGCGGGCTGCATTTATAAACTCAGGAGGGTGGGAGCCAGGTGTGCACAGGCGGCTCTAGAATCGCCCAGATGAGCAGCACCTAATTGNGGCCAGGGAGCCTTCCCCGGGAGACCATGGCAGGCCCAGAGATGCAGGTCAGCCCTGAGCAGCTGCTCTGGGAGAGCCAGTCCACAGAGCCAAAGCTGGAGGACGGCTTTTGGCCCTCGGGCGGGGTGCAGGAGGGATGCATGGCCCGACGGTGGGGCCCATGCAGGATCCACTGAGGGCTGGGGGTCGGGTTAAGAGAGAGGGAGACAGACGGTGGGAGCCACCCACAGGATCCCTGGAGGGGCGGCAGGGCGGGCTGCATTTATAAACTCAGGAGGGGTGGGAGCCAGGTGTGCACAGGCAGCTCTAGAATCGCCCAGATGAGCAGCACCTAATTGCCTTCAATTGACAGGCACACTGGAGGTCGTTCACACCTCCCGGGCTCCAAGATGTCTGGGGGAGGGGCACAGCTGCGGTCACTGGTCACTAGAGATGTCATGGTTTGGGGACTGTTACATCCTTTCATTTACCCCCACCCCGGCTGGCCAAGGTTGCAGGAGGACGTGCCCCCAGCCCGTCCCTCCGGGGCAGTATGAGGGGTGCTGGTGCCCGGCCTGGAGGTGACAGGTGTGGGCACGTGAAGGAGAGCAGGCCTTGGGGAGTTAGGGTGGCCTCGGCGGAGCCGTGTCCGATGCATCCAAGATGTCGAGATGGGCAGGCATTCTCAGAAGCGGACTGCCACAAACAGGGGCTGGGGGGGTGACCACAGAGGGGCCGTCCTGCTGCTATTAGCCCCTCTCGGTGGGCTCAGACACCTGTAGCCCTGGCCCAGTCCGTCTAGGGGATCACTCCGGATTCGGGTGACAGGTCGGCCCTGGAGGGAGCCGCTTGCTCAGGGCATGGACAGCTCCCTGCCCCGCTGCCCAACAGGACGAACCACCGCCCTCCCCGGCAGTGCGGGGACTCGCTCTGGCCGCAGGGCTCGTGCGTCCCCGCCGCGC